ATTGAGAAAAAAAAAAACAGGAAAAAAAAAAAACGTAAATCCAGCCGATGTAAATAAACAGACACCCCGAAGCAATCAGCTGATCTCTCCTCCTGAGGGACTTTTCCTTCCCTTTCGCGTGGTGGAGAAAAAAAAGGAAAAAAAAAGAAAAAAAGAGAAAAAAAAACAGGAAAAAGGAAAAAAAAACGTTGTGAGTGCAGCGTGAGTGTGTTTTTGGCTTAGATCTTGGCCTTGTGACCCAGATTGAGGCAGAGGTAGAGGTGAGTGAAGCACTTTTAGGCGTTTGTGGTGAGGCGGTGAGTGTTGAGTGAGTAATGTGAGTCATGAGTCATTAATGAGTCATGTGTGATGAGTAGGCTCGTGTGTGTGTGATGAGTTTTTTTTTAAGTGACGAGGTGAAGGGATGACTTAATTCCACCACGTAGGTAGGTTCAGGACTTTTATTTTGTATTCGTTTCTATGCAGTTTTCAGGGTTTATTATTATTTTTATTTCATCTTTGAGAGGATCAGTTGACAGGGTTTTCCTCTTTGGCACCAGTTCTCTTGGGAGGATTGCTGTACCGTTTCATTAGAATAAACTGCAGGTAAATGTGTGTGTACAATGTTGCAAATAGTGTTAAGGTTGGGAGTTATTTTTTCAGTTGTTTACTAGTTCTGTTGAAGTCTTTTGTTGATTGCATTTTGGCCTTCATGAGGTGGTGTCACATGTCTTGTCTATAAATACAAAAGACATGATATTCATTTGCAAGCTTTTGCAGTGGTGATATGGTTTCTGCAACATAGGAAGGAAAGTTGAAGTAGAGGTTTGTTTTCAGTAATGTATAAAAAGATCATCATCTACAATATCAGATTGAGGGAGTAAATGTTCATTATTGAATGCAGTTGTGTTTATGACAACCTTGATCAATTATTGAAAGATTTTATGAAGAAGTGCATTAAGAAACAGCTTGAAAGTACAGAAAGAAAATCTAACTAATTAACTTGTAGTAGTTTTCAAAACTGGAATTTCGTACCCAAAGTAACTTAGTCATATTCTATCCAAATCTGTTTTGAACTATATATGCGTTGTGATAGTGGGCTTTCAATCTGAAATCCAGCCTTAAAACAGCACTGCATCGAGTGCTAGCCGTGACCTCCAACAAAGCCAGCAATCCTCGCCGTCTTCCTTCTAATGAGATAAAGCTTGGACCAGTCCTTAATGTGGCAGAGATCAATGGTGGAAGTTGGGTGTAATAATATGATTTAGAAAGAAAACTGACTATTTTGTGGAAATGCTGGTTGATGAGTTAAGATAGTTTTAGCAATTTTACAGAATAAGACTGCCTGATGCAACCTCATGGTTTTTGCAGCTTACACTCCAGCAAAGGCCAACAAATCTTTCTGCATAATTTTATCTGATGACCAAATGCTAGGACGTTATCAAGCTCTGTTTGGTCAAGATGTACAGTATATATTTTTTTTGCATTTGTTTGGGTGGCCAGCTCAGCATCACTTCTTAGCTGCACGGACCTAGATTCATTGAGTTTGATAAAGTATTTTTAGCATTATCCTCACATTCTCTTGATTATTTTTTTATACCTGTGTTATTTTGTGTTCTTAGTGGCAACTACATTGATTTTGAACATTCACCTCAGTGTTTCTTTATTACAACTTCTGTGTACAAAAAAGTGGAAGTGATATGTCAATACAAGTTAGGGGTGGTTCACAATTTTCAACATTTTCACAAGCGTACAAAGCATACCCCCCCCCTCCCCCCCTCAAAAGGTGTATAAAAAAATGTTGATCAGGAAGCCTATTTTATTATGTCAAAGCTGAGAGAAACCCATATAAGTGTGGATTATAATTTATGCATAAGTACCATATGTATGGCCCACATGCTTAGTACTTGGCAGGAATGAAACTAATGGCCCGTAGATGATGCAGTGTATGGTTTTTACTCTTGTGAAAATGTTGAAACTTGTGAAACACCCCTTCCACAATTGCTGTTTGTATTTATAGATAGTTTAAATACGTTATAGGCAAAAAGTTTTTTTTTTCCCTCTTTTCCTTTCATTTCCTTTCTTTACTTTTATTTTCCTTTCTTTCTCTTCCTGCTGTCCACATTATTTGAAATATCACAGGGAAATCAAAGGATAGTAAATCACTGCCTCTACCTGCCAGAATGTAAATGATAGAAGTTTGATGTCTTTAGGAGGCATGGGGAGTGCTTGATTCACTGTGAATGTATCTTTGAGAAATAATTGTGGACAAGCCTTCACTTTTTGCTGTTTATTATATATGGCTGACAGTGTTGTTTTATGTGCTTTTTAAAACAGTACCTTATTTTTTCTCCTTTTCTGTGTGTTTTTTCTCTCTCTCTCATTCCGATTATACAGAATCAGGTAATTGTAGTGGCCCTTTGTATATTAATGATAGGGTGGAAGGACAGGAGGCATAGACGTTTCTTAGCTTTTAGTATATAGCAGATACTTTGCATGAATGTCGCTGTTGTTGTTCTTGTTGTTTTGGTGCAGTGGTAGGTGAAATGTCAGATTCTTATTTTTCTTTTTCTTTTTTTTCCCTTTCTGCACCCTTACATCTTTAACAGCTTTTGGAATCAAGAGTATTGGTAACATGAGTATGAATGAAAGATGAAAGATAAAATGACTATACACAAAATTGATTTATTATTTGAGGAATTGAAAGTAAAAAACAAAACAGTTTTGGGTATATATCATGTATATGTTCATATGTTCTGTGAAACAGAATGTTATGCAAGTTTGACTTGACTATTTTATATAAAAAACTATATAGGGTACCTTTATTGACTAAAGGTACTACTTAGTAATATATTCAGAAGAAAAGATAAATACACATGTTACAACACTCAGGAGACATTCAGGATATTGGATTCAAGATGCACATGGGATTGGATAATGTGCAAACTGACATTTTGAAGCACATGAGGGATAGCTCATCTCTATAAGTAGTATTAAGTTCATTATTAATGTAATCAATGAAATAGAATAAGTCACAGTAATGTACACACACACAGATGAATTGCAACAGCCGTGATCGTAGAGTAATAAAGGGTGTTAGACTAGATGGCAACAATAGTATTTTATTAATACAGATATTTAATTTTAACCTAAGTGCTGGTCAGTGGACTGGATAACCTTACCTCAGATTTATTGGATAAAACTTTCCGAATATAGTTAAGTCTTGGTGCCTACCTCAGGGCCTGATGTTGATGCTTGTTTTGATAGTCCTTATAATCTTGGCCAAATTTCTTTGAGTCTCAACTGTAGCTTGGCTTTGGATGACCTTACCCCAGCTTTCCATTTTATTTGGTTTTGATCCTGTAACCTCGTTTGATGTTTTTTTCCTATGGTCTTTTCATACTTGTGAGAATTTCTGCGAATAAAAATTTTGGATTCCCTAACTGATGAGGAGACTGGACTGAGTGAAAGCTTATTAATTCTTTATTCAATTGGCTATATAGCATTTCATCTCTGCGTAAATGGTTTGACCATATTACTCTTCAGTTAAATAGCATGATTTGTACATAAATAAATTGAAAGACATGGATAATCTCTGTGGTATGGTCACATTCAGCGAGGGCAAATTGAAAATTATATACTTGTAGAGAACAAAACATTGCAGTCACTGGTACAAGAAATAATTTGCAGATGTGAATTGAAATGCCACAAAGAAAGGAAAAAAATATCATGGAAAGTGCCACTCACAGCCTAAGTCCCCTCCCCATATTTTCAGTTATATTAATCACATGAGTCTAGAATCAACAATAAAATAAAGTAACCAAATTTTGTGCAGTACATTTATAATTTACACAAATGTACTCATTTCATTTTTCCTATGCAAATTAATGATAAGATGCATTTCTTCCAAAAATATCCTCGAAAGAAACAAAAAAACAAACTAAGACATATGAAATGATAAAGTTGGTGTGCAAGCGCTTAAAAGGATTACTGCTAGTGTTTTGGTGCAAATGTACTGAAAGATTAGGCAAACAAAAACAATACAAAAAATTTACTTTACCAACTCACCCACTGCCAAAGTTCATAGTAAAGGTATCCTCAGTAGTTCATAAAAGGGAGAGTCTATGATATCTCTGAAAATCAAATTGGAATCACACTGGTTTTAGAAAAAAAGGAAACCTAGCTTGGATTTTATTAATTTTTTATTATTAATGTTCTTTTGTTGTTGTTTTTTACAATAACAGCAAGATCTCTTTTGTCGTTCCTTGCAGATGGCACGTAAGCGTGAAGAGAGAGCTATTAGAAATGCACAGCGGGCAGCTCGGAAAGCCCGTGCTTCTCAAAGTGGGCAAGACCCAAGCTTCGTTTCGTTGAAGCAGCAGTTGGCAGCCATGGGACTAACCCTAAGAGAAATACCTGGAGATGGGTTAGTCTTCACTGAAAATGTTTTGAATTTTTTATTTCTGTCTTTTTTTAGGATATGAAGTTATTATGATGTATGTTTTACAATATCATAATTAACATTATAATGTGCTTTTTTTCAATGTTTTATTCTTCAAATATTTGTAGTACTTGAAATATATATGTTAGAGTATACATAGATTATGCTTTATATTTAATGTTTTCCATCTTGAAAGTCTGGATATTCTATATTCATTCAGCTATATGTATTAATTCTACATCACATATAATACTGCATAATTCTAAAGCGACTAAAATCAAGTCTTTCACGTTCCAGAAACTGTTTATTCCGCGCTCTAGGAGATCAGCTAGATGGAACACCAAACACACACCAAAAACACAGACAAGATGTTGTTGCGTACATGCGGCAGCATCGCAGTGACTTTGAGCCTTTCGTCGAGGATGATGTCCCCTTTGATAGGCACTGTAAGGCATCCTTCTATTTATTATTTAGTTTTTTAAGCAATAGGACTATTTAAACATGGTAATCCACATTGATTGTTAAATTCACTGTAAGCAAAAAAATGTGTTGAAGTGCTGTAGTTTATAATTTGAAGGTTTTATGTTAAAGATGTTAATTTTTTTTTAGATATATGAAGGTGAAATAGCTTTTATGATACCTTTACACACATAAAGATACAAGTTAAAGCTCTGCCTGAATTATTTCTGGTCATTTTAACAATAAGATGTTTATTGAAATGCCTTGGAATTGATATACAAACTTTTGAGGGAAACAACTGTTCTTTTAATGAGTTTCCAATTGCTGCTTTCTCATTTTTCTTCATTAAATACTGAGTTACTGATCACAATGTATAATTTTTACCAGAGAGAGAAAAAAAAAAATGAAAATTTGCTGATTTCCATGTATAGAATATTGCATTAACCATTGATGCCAGAATGGTAAATACATACATGTCATGTCTACTGTCATTTTAGTTTATTAATATTATTTACACAGATTTGAAAAGCACAAAAGTCTACTGTAGCAGCTTATGAATTAAGAATATAATTATGTTCTTATATCCTATGTTCTTATATATAGTATCACCACAAAACTCACTAGAATATATATATATAGTATAAAACTTTTGTTTGAATATACTGTACTTGTTTGTACTTGGTATTTTTCAAATACTTTTGGATAAGTAAAAGTACAAGTACAAGTAATATTGAATTTTTAAACTCCAAGTAAAAGTACAAGTACATGAAAATCTATACTTAGGTCCAGTTACAAGTACAAGTACATGTACTTCGACCCTACCCTGCCACATGAGCTTAGTCAGCAAGGAGTCAGTCATTAGTCTTTCTTTTTTATTTTTCATTGTTATTCAAATGGTTAAAGCAATTTGCAAATTTGCGTCAACACATATAAGTATTTGGGTATACTTTAATTCCATTAAAAGACAGTTTATTCTTTCAGTGAGTAACTTGGCTGAACTTGGAACTTATGCTGGAAACGACTGTATTGTTGCTTTTGCACGCCTTCATGAAGTTAACATTGTAATTCATCAACTAAATGCTCCCCTTTGGCAGGTAAGGGGAATGAACATATATTGAGTGCTAATTTGTGTAGATATCAAATTGTATGTATATGCATGGTGGGTGAGGTTGCAAGAGTGGAAGGGAGTGACAGTGTCAAGAGCAGTAGTGTGGGTGTGGGTGTGGGTGGGTGGGTTGGTATGTGTGTGCGTACTTGCATGTATGAATGCTTATATGCATGCAATGGCTGTGTGTGTATGCATGTGTCTTCTTTATATGTTTCTTTCCATTTAGCAGTCTGATTATCTATCCTGCATTATATATCTGAATCTGAAACCTCCTGCAGGATGCAGATGCAGGACTCATGATAAGGCTTGGACATCCTGTGATCATCCATTGCCATTCCTTATATTTCCTGTCTTTTACATATACTTGTTGCATCAACCATTGTGCTTGAGGCCAGTATATGCATTAATATGCTTAAGGAATTATAATCATTTTTATTATCAACTGTAATTATGATTATTATTTTCTTGTTTATATATTTATCTATTCAAATTCAGTCTGACTTTTAACTGATTTATTTTATTTCAGATTTCTGGAATTGAAGGCAAAAAAAATATTCGCGAACTCCACATATCATATCATAATGGTGATCACTACAATAGTGTCCGCAGAACTGGAGATGTAACAACCAGTCCTGCAAGCATCAAGTTAGCTGTAAGTAATGGTATAATTGTTTGCAGTTTACCTTATCATTGTATTTTTGTCACTATCCTTGTTCTTGTTCTTCCTCCTCCTCCTTCTCCTTCTCTTTCTCCTTCTTCTCCTTCTCTTTCTCCTCCTCCTCCTCCTCCTCCTCCTCCTCCTCTTCCTCCTCTTCCTCTCCTCTTCCTCTTCCTCCTCCTCCTCCGTTCCTCTCCTCTTCCTCCTCCTCCTCCTCCTCTTCATCCTCCTCCTCCTCCTCTTCCTCCTCCTCCTCCTCCTCCTCCTCCTCTTCCTCCTCCTCCTCCTCCTCCTCCTCTTCCTCCTCCTCTTCCTCCTCCTCTTCCTCCTCCTCCTCCTCCTCCTCCTCCTCTTCCTCCTCCTCTTCCTCCTCCTCCTCCTCCTCCTCTTCCTCCCTCTCCTCTCCTCCCCCTCCTCTTCTTCTTCCTCCTCCTCCTGTTCCCTTCCTCCTCCTCCACCTCCTCCTCCTCCTCCTCCTCCTCCTCCTCCTCCTCTTCCTCCTCCTCCTCCTCCTCTTCCTCCTCCTCCTCCTCTTCCTCCTCCTCCTCCTCCTCTTCCTCTTCCTCCTCCTCCTTCTTCTTCTTCTTCTTCTCCTCCTCCTCCTCCTCCTCCTCCTCCTCCTCCTCCTCCTACTCTCCTCTCCTCATCCTTATCCTCCTCCTTCACTTTCTCCTTTAGTGATAAATAGTGAGATCCCTTATATGAGCACCATCATCGAAAATCAGTAAGAAATTACATCACCTTTCCTTCTTCCTGCAGGTTCAGGAATCCTCAAATGATACCAAAGATAAAAAGAAGAATGGGAGCAAATCCCCTGAGAAGTCCTACAGTGATGACTACTGCCAGGACTATGGCCAGGACTACGGCCAGGACTATCCAGTGTGGTCGGGGGAGGGTTACGACTACTCAGAGCCAGTGTATGAAGGTCTCTCCAAGGAGGAGCAGATGGTCATTGATAAGACAGGCTGTGAGGATCTGCAGCTGATCAGGTTTCAGCTGGAGGCCCATGAGTACGATGTGGAAGAAGCCATCGACTCTACACTCAGCTATGTCATCTCGCAGCAGAAAGGTGTGTGTGTTGTGGTGTGGGTTTCTTCACGTGCTGTTTTGTGGCTGAGTCTCCTATGGTTTTTATTACCATTATTTGTAGTTCAGTAGTTTCAGTTCTACTACAACTGTCTTTGTCATTATTATCATTAGTCATAGATCATCTATATCAATATTGTTTTTACTGCTATGGTCATAATTTTTAATAGTACTTCCATAACGTGCTGCTATCATTATCTAACCCTTCAGGAGAAAACCCTCAAATCACGCTCAGCAGTAATGGCATATGGGGACCAAATGGGACTGGGACTCGCATATTTGGGGAGGGCGCGGCCACTCCTCTGGCCCCCCCAACATCCATCCATCCAAGTTACCAAAAGAAGACAGCGCAGGAGAAGCTCCAGCAGCGCCTGCGCACACAGCCGGTAAGTGTGTGGTTGTTAGGTTATGTCTTGTTCCTTTAAGGGGCAGTAGATATTGGTGGTGTAGTTTAAATAGTTTAACATATGTGTTTTTCCTCTTTTTTCGTTTTCTATTTCTTTGTCTTATTTACATTTTTTCTTCTTTTTCTCCCCCCCTTGCTCCATTACATAATTTTCCCCACTTCCTCTTCCACTTCCTTTTCATCATTGTCTCTTTCCTACTTCTTTCTTATTTTTTTCATCCTTCCTTTTCTCTTACTCCTCCTCCTTCTTTGCTGTTTTCTTCTTCTACTTCTTCTTTTTCTTCTTCTACTTTTTCTTTTTCTTTTTCTTTTTCATATTCTTTTTCATATTCTTTTTCTTCCTCTTCCTCTTCTTCTTCCCTTTCTTACTCCTCCTCCTCGCGGATATTATGTTAAAATAGACACCATTTTGAAAACACGTTTATTCACTTGAAACACAAACACTCGTATATGACTGAATCAGTTCACATCCCCTCAGCACTTGTCTAACTCCAAACGCAAGGAGCTGAAGAAGCAGTTGAGGAAACAGCAAGCAAATGACAGGAAGAGGCAGCAGCAAGCAAGCTATGACTCGGATGACCCAACCTCAAACCCCAGTGATGACTCAGAGGTTATCATCGTCAAAGACATTGGTTGCCTGAGTATTTAAGTGATGTAGATGGTACACAGTACATAAAGATGTTAGTTACTTTACAAGGATTTAGACATTAGCTATGAGTGCTGATGGTAACAGATTGAAAACATTACATGAATGGATTATTACTTTATAACTTTATATTAACTGATGGTGCATGACACATCAGTGTTTATTGTGATGTAAAAACTAAAGTAATTAAATTAGAAGCTTTATTGGGAGGGGAAGGGAGGGGGGCAAAACTTGAACAAGATAGCAAATACTTTTTTTGAGATGATTGACATGCATTTATCAAATTTCATATTCAATTGATACCTGTCAGGCAACAGATTTTCAAAGGTAACAAAAGCATTAGGTGAAGAGACATCTTTTCATTTAGCTTTGCCTTTTGGCTCATAGCAGTCATGTGTGGAAATGATTGTGCAAGGAAAAGAGGAAACAGAAGAAGAAATAATAAAAAAGACTAGTCGTGCAAATAAAAGTCACTGTTTCTTTATTTTAAGATGTTTATGAAGGATCTCTGCCCATTCAGACAAGTAAGAAAAACAAATGGAAACAGACCTTTTGTTATTTTGTGAATCTTATTTGGTGAATATAGGTCTTAAATTCTCAAAGGTATTACCAAAAAAACAAAAACTAAATTTGTTTTGTGCTTCAGGGTTCAAAGCTGGTAAAGATACACCCTTTTTATATTTTTCTGGTCTTTGTCTGTGATTGTACTTTAGGAAAGGGCTTTAATCAACTGTCCATTTGTTCTTCAAGACTACCAGTTGTAAAGAAGACAAATATTGCAAACTATGCTAAGGCAGTAACTTGCCTTTATACACCAGGTTGTTTCTTGTAATTTAATTCTCAGTAAAACTGCAGTAGATAAAACCAGTGAATGTGTATTTTATTTTATAATCAGTGTAGGGCAGTTCTAATGTAATCTGTAAAGACCTTCATAGTAGATGATATGTTTATTTGCTCTACATTTGTTTACATTAATTAAATGAGGCAAAGAAAAAGTAGAAAGAACCAATTGTAAGACATGTGCATCAACTTCTCATATCTCAAGCCCATGACTATGATATTAGTATCACCATGTTTTGTCTCACCACTCACATTCACAAATATTTATTAACTCTTTAAAAGCAGAGTATTGTGTGAGGACCTGTGATTATATTACTCTTTTACTTCTCTTCTTGCAAGTGCTCAACCTCCAATTCAACAGCTGCTTGGTAAACTGCTAGTCACTAACTCTACTGCAGATACATCCTCAAGATTTACAGGTTTGCAGTTTGGTCAGCTGACTGCCTGATCAAACTTCATCTGGATACAGTGTGCTGTACTTTTTTGTATATGTATATTGAGGTGTATACATTTTGTTATACAACAGTTGTGGGCTTTTAAGTGAATTGGATGAGACTGCAGTTGATTTTTCTGTGATATGGAAGAAATGGAAGTGTAAGGCTTGCATTTTATATCTTCACCATTGGAATAATTAATATTCACTGGATGCAACAAGTAACTGCTGCCAATTCAGAGCAATCTACTGCACGTTCATATCCATCTCAAATTATAATTAAGTTTTACTGTTAGTAGGCATGTAATTAAATGGTTACTGACACTAATAAGGAGCATATAGCAGAGGATCTTGTTAAAGTTTAGAAAAAGAGAAACAAAAAACAAAACAAAAAAAGACAATTAGGATAGCAAGTCTCTTGGAGATACTGAAAAAGGATTCTAAAAATTAAATGCCTATTATGATACTAGTAATATTTGAAATTGTCTTATATTTCTTTATTACGTACTGTAAGCTTCTTGGAATTCTTATTCAAGATAGAGCAAATGTTCACTGTAAGCACTCAGAAACTTTTCTTAAGAGGTTTTATTCATAGTGGTCTGCTATTGAGTGACATGCATCTGCAGACAAATTTACACAAGGCTGTATAACTGCAAATGAAGAATAACTTTTGAAAGCATTTGTTTTATTTTATCCTTCAATATTGTTTTGGTGCTCTACTTTGTGGCATTAATTGGTTATTTAATATGAAAAATGAGAAATTTTCTTAATCAATACAACTTTTTAAAATATCAGGGAGATGTTACTGTGTATAAGCACTGGTACCTTGTATACATGGACGAGAACAGAAAGGCTTGCTTATACAAATGTGAATTAACTTTATCATGCCTGTTATCATAGAGTGGCTTGGAGATGGGGACTAAGGCCCAGTGTTGGAGATCACCCCTACCTTGGACCTTAGCCCTTGCCTTAAATAATTTTGCATGGTATTTTCTTCTTCCTTTGAAGTACAGCTGATCTATATCGCATCTGTTTTTTCCTTGACTTAGTAAAGGCATATGACACCACAGGGAGATACCACATCCACCAACAATTATCTTTTCTTGGCATAACCACCCTAATCCCCCCCTCAATCCCTTGCCCGTTGTTGTTGTGGGGGGGGCTTAGGAAGCAGAGACGAACCCAGTGATGGGGAACTCCCCAACCTTTGGACTCAGCCCTCGACACAACTAATTTTGCATGGTCCTTTTTCCATTCCCACTTCGTTTCTGTCCCTTCACCAATCCCTTCTACTATCCACTTCCTAAGGTGTGAGAGCCGTGCTGAAAGGATGAAAGGCTGACTTTGTGCCAGTCCTGAACGGCCTGAGGCAGCATTGGGCACTGTATTCCCCTTCTTTAGTTACCTAGCCCTTACCTCTCAAGGGGACCCTGAGGGGTGGACTGTTTTTCTCCCCAACAAACTCCAGGCTTACCATGGCTAATAATGAAGATGCAATTCCACTATTAGGGGCAATGAGGCTTGCCCCTTCATCAAGTAGCCCCAACAATTCAAACTCCCAATTCCCTGACCCCAGGCTCTCCTTTGACCACGGCTCCGAACACTACAACAACTACCCCCTCCTCAATGCCTACTAGTACAGTATCTACCCTAGTCAACACTCAACCCCCAGGAGACATTTCTACTCTCCCAACATGCTGAACTTCAACACCTCTATCCCCACAACCTTCTTCATCAACTACCCTATCCTCCCTCATTAATACTTTACAGCCTTATTGCACACCTCTCCATAACACTACTTCTCTCAACACTACTCCCTCCTCCACACGCCCCCGCCCTTCTCACAGCTGTTACAACGCTGAACTCAAGTCACGAGGGCTTCTAACTTTCCGACCGCGATGTACATTTTTATTAATAACTTTAGTTGGAGCGCATGTAGGGAAAAAAGGAAACATTTTCCAAATTCTCCATAAAATTTCCAATCTTTTGATGTATAATTATTATTTACCTTTTGGCAACTGCGGTATTTGTCACCAGAGTTCAACTAACGTGGGGGTCATCGCGTCGCGCTTTCTTACTCGAAACTGCTTCTGAAGCTCAAAACGCAAGCAAATTTTTACTTAACATTTTCTGTTAAATTTTCTAACATTTAATGTTTATTAGAACTATATTCACCCTCATGACAATACACACGAGAAACTTGAAATTTGAACTGTTTACGTCACTCCGTTAAATGTACTCACGATGCTGGGTAGAGGCACCACAATGCACATTTTAATTGGTAACACCAATTTGAGGTAATTGAGGTAATTTCATTTTTTTTCAGGCTTATGAAGTTTTTGCAGAACATGAAAGGAAATTTCTGAATACTGCACCTAAATGGCTTTTTTTTCAGGGGGGGGGGGGGCTATTTACTTCGGTTGCTGCGTAGCTGTTATTGCACTGCGAAGCCGCCGAGGCGTTTCTCAGAAATCACGAAAAAGTATCCTTACAAAAATCGCTCGCGCTGTCCTCAGAAAGCTTGAATTCAACAAAGCTTTCTCACAAATTAAATCTTTATTAGTTAAGGTTAACCCTACTCTCGGTGCGGGTTTCGTAGGAAAGAGCGATCATACCACTGTCACGCGCTAAACTTCTTATTCGAATATTTATTTATTATTTGAAGAAACTGACTAATTCCGCACCCCCTCAAAATAGACTCGTTATCATTCTAAATTATGCAAAAAAATGAAATGATTACATAATACCGTTCAGTAGCGCGAACGTAAACGGTAACGATGAGTGACTTGACAAACTGGCCTAAATTCCGTGAAACCATGAGAGTTGTGTAGCGATTTAATTTTTGTGTGTCCTTCGTGGCTAACAAAGTAAAAAAAATAATAATAATAATAAGTATTTTGCTCGATGTCTAAGCCATTATTTAAAATTATTTCGGTTAGAATTGCTCTCTCCTAAATATCTTAAATCGGGCCTCAAAAAACATGAAATTTGCAAATTGCGGCTGAGCGGAAAGTTAAACCCGATCAGAGTGGCTGACTTGAGTTCCACGATAGAGCGTAACAGCTGTGTTCTACTATCCCTATCTCCACAAAAATTTTAAATACTCTATTTAGCCCAGCCAAATTGGTCCGATTTTTTTTCTTACTCCCTACTCCAGTAATGTCGCTCATTCTACCACTCCCCCTACCTCCCAAGCTCCTACACCCTCTCCTAAACCTACCCCCCCTCCATCTAACTCCCCTTCTTCTACCTCCTACCTTCCCCAGTTAAATTCTTTTGCCATCCTAAATCCAGACACTCCAATCTCTACTACAGCCCCAACACCTTCCCCTCCACCTGCAACAGACAGAATAAACGTTCCATCCCCTCTTCCCCTACCACACAATCACCTCCACCTTCCTTTGCCCCTATTCTTCAGACACCAGTCTTCTCTTCCCCCCCTCACAAGAAAACCTTTATCTCACAAAACTCCCCAACCAACTCCATTGCAGAGATATTCAAGACTACATAATCAAGTCCCTAACTGACACTCATCCACCTAAGATTCTACAACTCCCGCTCCCTCCACACTCAAAGTGACTGCCGATATCCATCCTCCTGCCGATATCCCCCTACACCCTATCCTCCTACCCCTCAAACAAACATCCCCCCATCCAGCCCCGTCCTCCATATTCGAGATACCCTCAATTGTGCTCTCTATTCATACGTGGAAACATGGGTGTCTTCATAAAGTCTCCCAACGCACTTTCCAGGGCAAAATTGCCTCTGCCACGTCATCTTTCTTTTCTCAAATCGAAGGCGTCCCACAAGGCAGTGTGCTCAGTACCACTTTATTCCTTCTTGCTGTTAATGACATTGTCTCAGTTCTACCACCAGGAGCCCGGTCATCACTATATATTGATGATTTAATCATCTATGCCTCTGGCAGATCCATACCAAATCTCTACCAATTTCTTCAGTCTGCAATCTCATCAGTATCTTCCTGGGTCACAAACCATGGCTTCCGCTTTTCTACCTCCAAATCTTACTCCATCCTTTTCTCTCGCACACGTGTAGGTCCCCTACCTCCACTCCTCTTATATGGCACTCCACTCCAATACCGTTCCACCGTCAGTTTTTACTCCAAACTGTCCTGGCGAGACCATATCCTTTATATTAAAGAAAAAGCTCGCCGCCGTCTCCGAATCTTACAAACTCTATCCCATATATCCTGGGGCTCAGATCGCAAAACTCTCCTTCATCTTCATGTTACCTTGATCCTCTCCACTTTCGATTATGGATGCCATATCTACTACTCTGCCTCAATTTCTCTCCTTGCCCATCATTGATACAATCCATCACTGTGGTCTTCGCTTAGCCCTAGGCGCCTTCCGCTCCTCTCCAGTTGAGAGCCTGTACACTGAATCAGGCATACCATCTCTCTCTCGACGCCGTGCCCTTCTCTCTCTCCGATGTTATGCTCGATTCCACCAACTTCCCCTCACTAAACTAACTATCCCACGATCCCTACTTCCTACCTTTGCTTCTTCTCCACGTTTACCTACTTCTTTCTCCACTCGCATGGATACCCTCCTCTCCCATTCCCCTTTTCCCCATCTCCGACCTCTCCCATTCTGTCCATTCTGTTCCTCCATGGCTTATACCTTACCCCCATATTTGCTCTTCTGTTTTCCCTGACCCACCAAAATCAGATATTCCTCCTGCTGTCTTTCTCACCCATTTCCTTGACCATGTCTCCACTCATTCCTCCAGTATTCACGTATATACTGATGGTCCCAAATCCACCTCCAGTGCTGAATCCTGAATCCAGTGTCCTTACTACAGAACTGTATGCACTCCTTTTTGCCTTAAAACACATATACTTACTCCCCTCTTCCTCTTTTACATTTTTTACTGACTCCCGTAACTCATTAACTCTCATAAAGTCCAGAACTGGTTGTTCTACCTGTCCACACGCCATAAAACAATCAAGTTTTCCAGCCATGTTGGAATCCCCGGCAATGAACAGGCAGACACTCCAGCACACTACGCCGCTATGTCCACATCATACCAACTACGTTTCTCACATATCCCAGCCACGGATTATCACCCACACTTTAAGACCTTGTATAATCGATGGCAATCTTTTTGGTCAAGTTTCCGCACTAATAAATTACATACTGTAAAACTATCAGTCTCCTGGTCAGCTCCATTTCATCGGAACAGACGTTGGGAGACGGCTCTCGTCCGCTTACGCATTGGCCACACCCGTCTAACACACTCCTATCTGATGTCACAATCCGATCCACCCCGATGTTCCTTATGTAATGTTCCTCTTTCAGTCCCACACATTCTATTGTCATGCCCACGTTTTGAAGCAGCCCGTACCTCTGCTTTCCCCCACCTATCCTCCCTTCACCGACCTCCCATCCTATCAGGCATCCTTACAGAATCTCACACTTTCTGCTTCGACAACCTGTTTTCCTTCCTCAAACGCATATATATCTTTCACTTAATCTAACCCCTTTACATTACCTCACCCAACCTTAACCCATTCATTCACCAATTCCTTTGCTCAGCTTTGACAACTTATCACTAACTCAACCACCCTTCACTAACACTTACTATAGTGCTACATGACCTTAGATGTCTAGCACATTTATTTTGCTTTTAACCATTAACCATTAACCACCCTAA